CCTACACCTCTGGCCCTCACTGACCTACCTCCCCTCTTCACTCTCTTTTATCCACAACTCCCTCTCCTCCATTCTGGACTCCCTTGGCCTCCTCACCTCCCGAACTGCCTCATACTCCCGTAAATCCCCCTGGTACACCAGCCATCTGCGTTTCCTCAAGGCACAAGTGCGAGCTGCCGAACGCACCTGGACCAAATCCAAACTAACGGTCCATCGGCAGATTTGGCTTCACCACACCAAGACCTACCACTGCGCTCTTGCCTCTGTCAAATCCTCCTCCTACTCCAAGGTTATCTTAGAGGCAAAGGACAACCCCAGGCTTCCCTTTTCCACCACAAACCGTCTCCTCCATCCACCTTCCCATGCTCTCCTCAAACTCTGGCCCTCCCTGACCAAACTGTGAGGAGATGCTGAAGTTCCTCAAAACTAAAATCGAGGGGATACATTCAGCCACCTCAGCCCTGTCCACCGCCGCCCCCACATCACCTCTCCCTCATGACCCACCCCCCACCCATCCCCCCCTATACTCCTTCAACCCTATCTCTCCCTCCTCTCTCACCACGACTGTCCTCAAACTCAAACCCACCACCTGCTCCCTTGATCCTATCCCCACCTCTCTCCTCATCTCCCAACTCCACCTTTTGGCCCCTCTCCTGTCCGAAATCATCAACCTCTCCTTATCCACCAGTTCAGTTCCCACCCTCTTAAAAACAGCCGTCATCACCCCCATCTTGAAAAAACCTTCCCTGGATCCATCCCTCCTCTCCAGCTACCGCCCCATCTCTAACCTCCCATTCCTCTCCAAGATTCTGGAACGAGTCGTCACCTTCCAGCTCCGCTCCTTTCTTTCGAGTTGTCGCTTCCCAGCTGTGCTCTTTCCTCTTGAGATGTCGCCTCCCAGCTGCGCTCTTTCCTCTGAGTTGTCGCCTTCCAGCTGCGCTCTTTCCTCTGAGTTGTCGCCTCCCAGCTGCGCTCTTTCCTCTGAATTGTCGCCTCCCAGCTGCGCTCTTTCCTTTCCACCCATTCATTATTCGAACCCCTTCAGTCGGGTTTCCGTGCTGCCCACAGCACAGAAACTGCCCTGGTCAAGGTCACCAATGACATCCTGACCATCTGTGACCAGGGCTCCCTCTGCCTCCTCGTCCTTCTCGACCTATCGGCAGCATTCGATACGGTCGACCACGCTATCCTCCTCCACCGCTTGTCCTCCCACCTCAACCTTCAAGGCACTGTCCTTGAGTGGTTTAAGGCGTACCTCTCCCACCGTCTTCATTTTGTTTCCACAAACGGCTTTTCCTCCGGCCCCCGCACTGTCTCATGCGGTGTCCCTCAAGGCTCTGTCCTCGGTCCCCTCCTCTTCACCCTCTATATGCTCCCCCTTGGTGACATCATCCGCAGACATGGGGTTAACTTCCACATGTATGCGGATGACACCCAACTCTACCTTTCCTCCTCTACCCTCACCTCCACGACCACCGATGTCCTGACAGCTGCCTGTCCGACATCGAGTCCTGGACGAGAGACAACTTTCTTCAGCTCAACGTGCGTAAAACTGAGGCCCTCCTGATTGGCTCACGTCAGCGCCTCCGCACCTCAGGCGCTGACAGCATCAGCATCCAAGGCTGCACTCTCCACCTCTCAAAGCCGGTCAGGAACCTCGGGGTTCTGTTCGACCCTGAGCTGTCCTTTCTCCCCCATATCCGCGCCACAACTGGCACCGCCTTCCATCACCTCCGGAATGTCGCCAGACTACGGCACTACCTCACCCCTCACGCTGCTGAAACTCTGGTCCACGCCTTTATCACCTCAAGGCTGGACTATGGGAACTCTCTCTTCGTCGGCCTTCCCGGCACCTCCCTCCACAAGCTGCAGGTCATTCAGAACTCTGCAGCTCGTGTACTGTCCCGCACCAGGCTTCGCGACGACATCACTCCCACCCTCGCTCGCCTCCACTGGCTCCCCATCCCCCAGAGGATCGAATTCAAGATCCTCACCCTCACTTACAAGGCCATTCACGGCCTTGCTCCCTCCTACCTCTCTGACCTACTATCCCCCTACTTACCTGCCCGTACCTTCCGTTCCTCTGGCTCCGGTCTGCTCCACATCTCCGCCCCAACCGCCCGACCATCGGTGGCCGGGCCTTCAGCCTCTCAGCCCCTAGGCTTTGGAACTCTATCCCCCAGTGCCTTCGCCGCTTCCTCCCTTTCCTCCTTCAAGGCCGGTCTCAAGACCTTTCTCTTTGACCGTGCCTTCAGCTCCCCTCTTGACTCTCTGCCCCCTCCTCGCTGCCTCCCTTCCCACCCCTCACCCTGACCATTTCCCCCCTGCTCGGGTCCTGACCCAACTGTACAGCGCCTTGGGACGTCCTCCCGACGTGAAAGGCGCTCTATAAATGGAATCTTGTTGGTGTTGTTTCTTGCCATTCCCTCTTTGAACTCCTCCAATCCGGCTTCCGCGCTGCCCACAGCACGGAAACAGCCCTGGTCAAAGTCACTAATGACATTCTGAACATCTGTGATCAGGGCTCCCTCTGCCTCCTTGTCCTCCTCGACCTCTCTGCCGCCTTCGACACTGTCGACCACTCCATCCTCATACACCGCCTCTCCGCTTTACTCAATCTTCACGGACCTGCACGAACCTTACCTGGTTTGATTCCTATCTCTCTCACGGTCTCCACTTTGTTGCCTCTAACGGTTTCTCCTCCAGGCCCTTCACTGTCATGTCTGGCTTCCCCAGGGCTCTGTCCTTGGCCCTCTCTCTCCTCTTTAATATGCTCCCCCTTGGTGACATCATCTGCAGACATGGGGTCAACTTCCATGTGTATGCGGATGACACCCAACTCTATCTTTCTGCCCCCACCCTCAACTCCAGGACCACTGCTGACCTGACAGACTGTCTGTCGGACACCAAGTCCTGGATGAGGGCAAATTTCCTACAGTTGAATGTGAACAAGACTGAGGCCCTCCTGATTGACTCGCGCCAGCGCCTCAGCACCTCAGGCTCTGGCAGCATCAACCTCCCCCCTCTGCTGGCTGCAGATAATCCAGAACTCTGCAGCCCGTGTCCTCTCCCGCATCAAACTCAGTGACCCCATCTCCCCCACTCTTGCCTGACTCCATTGGCTCCCTATCCTTCAGAGTATCCAGTTCAAGATCCTGGTCCTCACCTACAAAGCCGTCCAAGACCTCGCCCCATCCTACATCTGCAACCTCCTAACCCCCTACCAACCTGCCCGTTCCCTCCGCTCAGCCGGCTCTGGCCTGCTCCATGTCCCCCACCCACCCGCCCCACCATTGGCAGGAGAGCCTTCAGCCACTCTGCCCCCAACCTTGGAATTCCATCCCCTAGTTACTCTGCCTCGCCCCCTCCTTAGCCTCCTTCAAGTCCCACCTCAAGACCGTCCTCTTCAACCATGCCATCGGCCACCCCCCTTCCTCTCCCGCCCCTTCTCTCCCCCGACCCCAGCTTGGGTCTCAAATGCTGTACTCTGTCCAGTGCCTTGGGATGTCCTCCCAATGTGAAAGGTGCTATACAAATGTAATCTTGTTGTTGTATCTTGTTGTTGTTGGGATCTGCAATGCATTACCTGAAAGGATAGTGGAAGCTGATTCAATAACAACTTTTAGGAGAGAAGTAGATGGGTATTTGGGGAGGACAGGATTGCAGGGCTATGGAGACAAAGCGGGCCAGTGGGATTGAGTTGGATTGCTCTTTTCAGAGTCGGCGCAGACACAATGGGCCGAATGGCCTCTTTCTGTGCTGTATGATTCTATGAAGATGCGATGGTCCAGGAGAGATGATGATAGCCTGTGATTAAATTACAATGTGATTTGGAACACTATGGCATGGTTAGCTCTGAATTCACTTCCCCTATTTTTGAAACAGTGAGTTTTGTCGTCAGAAATGTATTCCAGTGGGAAGATATGCGCTGAGCATGTGTTAAATGGGAGTGAATGAAGTTGGGATCACACTGTCCCTCTCTGATTCACCTGCTGGCTACTGGACAGAGCACAACTTTGATAGAGGACATCTTTTGCCCACACTATTGCACAATGAGGGTGCATGATGCAAGGGGGTATCACTGAGTGAGCTAAAACTGAGCAGAAAACTAAAATAACTTACAAAGACACAGCAGATTTAGAAGTAGTAACTGGTTAACTGAAAAAACAAATTCTGCTTTCAAGATCCGACTAATTCAGTTCTGTTCACCTCTGCCCATTGCCCAGACTTTATGAACTAAATGCATGACTCATTGTTGCTCTGCGACACAGTAAAAAGTGAAGACTCAGTTTATTCGGATGGTTGAGTATAGTAAAAGTGCAATTTTATTTCTATGCACTTTTTGTATTATGTCTTTGTCCCTGAACTGAATTAATAAGTAGGAATTCACTTAGTTATACACAAGGTCATAAATAAGATCGCTGCTTCTTGATTGCATAGTTACTTTAAGGTCTGTTTCAGTGATATTTTTTTCCCTTTCAAAAAAAATTGATCAAGTTTGCCATGTTTGTCAGTAAGCTGGGATATCAGATAGAAAGTCAAAGGGAGGAAGAATTTTTTTAAAAAAAGATTGTTACAACTTTCACAAACTTTCATAAAAACATTTCAGTAAAATCTATTTTCCACCTTCCATCTCTTCTGCTCTTTCAAATGTCATTAGCTGAAGAGGACTATCACGAAAAATATTTTGAACATGAAAATGTCATCTCCTTAAGTGGCTGCTCAAAGGTGTAAGACAAATTTCCTTCTTCATTCGCACCAGTGAAAAGTGTTTATCTGACATTGTTTTTGCTGGCTGTTTTGTGGGACATTGTTGTGCACCTTTTCTATTACGTCTTTGAACACAGATAGTGTAAACATAGTTAGTGTATCCTGTTTCAAGGACATATAACATGCTATATCAAATGCAAGGATTATTATTATTATTATGTATTTGCTTTGTGATTGATTGCATGTGGGTTGCACCTCTCAAATGATATTTTTTCTCCTTTTGCTTCCAGCATGTACATGTCCATATTCTTCCAAGGAGGACAGGAGACTTTGAAAGAAATGACAACATCTACACAGAGGTATGTTTGTAAACCAGATGCACACAAATCTTGGAAGCTGCTCAGTTCAAGCAAAGGTACTGCATGTCGCTGTAGATGAAAGGAATATTATTATTGCACCTTATAACACCAAAGTGCTTCATGAGTAATTTCGATCAAGTGTTGCAACTTTTTCCTTTCGGACAGATGAGGCTTTGCAGACAGTAGGATCCCTCAAATAGCAAAGTGACCAATTTATCTGGGGAGGAACGAGAAAAGAAACATCCTCTTTTTGTAAATTGTCTTTTAACATTCATCAAAGTAAGCAGATAACACCTCGGTTTAAGGTTGCATCAGAAACACAGAACATCTGAGCAAAGGAGCAGTCCCTCAATGTTGATTTTACACTTGAGAGGCAAGGTAGGGCTTGAGCCCACAGACTTCTGACACCTAGTGCTGCCAGCTGAGTCAATCGTGAATTACTTCAGGTGCCTGTGTCAATAATGTTCTAGCATTGCTCCAGCTTATTCAGATAGCGCACGATTAGTTTCATTCTGTGAAGGAGAATTACTATTTAGTGAAGATTGCTGCAGGTACAGTGCCCACCGTAATATTTAATTACATAGCAATATGTACCACTCAGCTCCTATTAACCGTGCAAGCCAAAGCCCTAATGGGAAGAGTGGTTCTAGCTGGACAAGCAGCGGGAAAGCTTGCCAGACAGCGATATCTATGTGGTTTTAGCTGGTTAGATTCAGCAGTTACCCCAACGCACATTCTAGGCTCCCACAAGTCTTGGTCTTGCCAACCTGCGCTTAATACATTTCAATAAGCTATCTCTGGAATTTCCATGTGTAGGAGGAATTCCATGTGGAATTTCCAGCTTGGGTCCGTAACTCTGTCTGTTCAGCGCCTTGGGACGCTTCCCGATGTGAAAGGCGCTTTACAAATGTCATTTTGTTGTTGTTGTTATTGTTGTTGTTGTAGGTGGGATGCATGGAATTCTCAGTATGCTTTGGATACTCTTAAGCTCGGTGATGGGGTTCCGCTTGGGTCAGACACCCAGCTAATCGCGGTGACAGGTTTCAGACAACTGGGTGACCACAAAAAAAAATCAGCTTTTTGGATGGGGATTTTAACCGCGGTTTAAAACTATTGCCTGCCTTACATAAAATCATAGAATTATACAGAACAGAAGGAGGCCATTCAGCCCATTGTGTCTGTGTCGGCTCTTTGAAAAGAGCTATCCAAATTAATCCCATTCCCCCGCTGTCTCCCCATAGTCCTGCAAACGTGTCCTCCCCAAGTAATTATCTACTTCTTTTAAAAGTAATTATCGACCTGTGTTCTTTCAACCTATGTGGTTTTCTTTCTCTGGCCACAGATAAGACTCCTTCAGGAGACTGGGTGGGAAGGATAAAGGTAGTGGGAATATTAAAGGGAAAAAGTGAATGTTTTATATTCAAGGGGGGAGTGTGCTTTCAAATCAAGCCAGCGTTTTAGCAATCTTTTGGACTATCCTAACACATCCACCCAGTTTGTGATTTTTCTCTGCTCCCCGTGCTGCACTGTGCTCTCAGACTCTTGTATCTGTCGAGTCCTGCAGCTTAATGGTTAGAGCACTCACCTCTAAAGTGAGAGGACCTGGGTTCGATTTCCGGGTAGGGTGAAACATGAGGCAGGTTTCCTTACTCCACATGCCTCTGTTTACCTAACAGTAAGTAGGAACCCGGTTGTTAATCGATTGGGGAATTGCTTTTCAGGTGGAGTAATAATCCCTCCAAAAATATATATGTATATTTTGGTCACTCAAACCACGACTGTTTGTGGGACACTGCTGTGCACAATTGGCTGCTGTATTTCACCCACAAAATATACAGGCAATTCACTTTACAGTATACTCTGTGAAGCACTTTGAGATGTCTCAATGATATGATAAGGCGCGATATTAAATGCAAGGATTATTATTATTGTATGAAGACAAAAACGAATGCGCTGAGCAAGATGATTGTTTCATAAATAATGAACTGGGAACTTTTTTCTCTACACAAATCTGTACCTGACACAAGCAGAATCCCAAGTCACCTGAAGAGTTCCCGGTGAAACGCTTACCGTTCATTTCCATTATTTATAATTCTCACTTTGAACATAACATTTAAATACATTCCACAAACAAGATGTTTCATAGTTGTACTGCTTTTAACATTCAACATATTAAATATTGCAGAGAAACTCAGTGCCAAGTGTCCCCTGGATCATAAGGATATTCAATCGCCAATTTATTTCTGTACAGGACACGTTCCTGTGAAGTGTTTCCTGTGTTTTGATTTAAACTCGGTTGCCAAGAGAGACCAACAATTTTCAATTAATTTTTTTGCTAAGGTTTCCAAAATGCTGGTTCAGGCATAACCTGGATTTAAAAGGAGACACGAGGTGAAATCTGTGGCATTTCAGAATAGATTTAATTCGATAATTATCACACTGAATCTGATATGGAACTGGAAACTCAGGTGGGTGTTGAAGATCCATGGCACTATTTGAAACGACATGGGAATTTCTCTCGGTGTCTTTGCCAACAATCTTCCAGATAAAAATGTGTCATTCATTTTGTGGCTATTTGTGGGACATTGCGTGACATATATTGGCTGCCACATTTTGGCACAAATATACAGTCACAACATTTGCCAGTAAAATCCTGTGAAGAGTTGTGAGACATTGTGGTTACATAGGCGCTACATCAAATGCAACGATAGTTATTATTATTATTGAATTATTATACTCACTAAACTATATCATGAAATACCCCATTACCTTTTCACTTGTACTGTCATTAATCCAATCTTTAATATTTTTTCAACAAAAAAGATTTTTATAACACAAATGCAAAAGGAATATCAGATGCCTGGCAGTGCATTTGAAGACGGAATTCAGACTTGACGCACTGCTGATGACTGTAAACACTCAAGCTGTGTGGGTTTTATCATTAGCACAATTGCTCGAATGAGTCAACTCCAGTCCCTCTCTCTTCCCGCCCTCCAGTTCAACATTATGTATGAAACAAATAGAAAATTAAAATTGTTGATCCTGTTATCTTAAACAATGCATAATTTTAAACAGCAGCAAGCTCGTTAACTAGGGGAATAGAGCAACGATTTTCATAATAAGTACTTGAGAACACTACTTTTTTTCTGTAGAAAATGCAGTGACTTGTACAGACAAAGAGCCAGCCCAAAAAAATTAATGCCAGAAATGCATAGAAGATCAAACAGTGTCTGAAAGAGAAAGGTAGATAAACGACCAGGGTATGACCTTTGATCAAGTCCTGCTTCAAATGTTAAGCCTTTCCTTCCCTTCCAGATGCTGATTGATCTGCAATCAATTTTTAGCGTTTTAGCTTCTGTTCTGGATTCCCAGCAACAAAATATATGGCTTTCTTTTTTTCTATTATTTCTACAAATGATCAGCCATGTGCTTCTTGCGAACTGCTTTATGACAGTACTGGGAACGGGAAGAGTTGAATCTTGGCTGGAAAACAAGTACTGTTTGAAAAATGTGCTGTCAAAGTGATAATAATGATTGTGACTGTGAGTCATAGGTCTGCAAGGCAGCGATGGTAACCAGGCTCAGAGGGTGACTCTTTTAAATTGCTTGGCAATGGTGCTAAATCTGGCAGTAAATCTGCCACAATACTGCCGCAGTGCAGCCGACATAAGGATGGCATTTGCCAGCAGAACCTCATGCAGACTTTGTCAATCAGTTTCACATTTGGAATACCTAAGTACTCAATATTAGTATGGATATTGTTCAAAGATATAAGCTTAATGATTGTTGGTTGAATGAAGTGATCGAAAAAACCTTTGGACAGAATTTCCACCTGGGTCTAGATTTAGTCTTTTATGTTGCATTTTAGAGTGTCCAGAATTTGGCAAATGGTTGAATTCAGTCTTAACTTTTCAAATAGGTTTTCTGTAGTTTGTTAAAAGAAGTTACAGGCTTCAGAATTGAGGCTGTACGTAAGAATTTGCCAAATTCTGCATGCTTTAAAATGCTGCAATAATAGAGTAAACCCAGACCACAATGGAATATCACTCCGACTTATTTTTTAACCAAATAACAATAAGCAGGAGACGTCACCTTTCTCTGTGACCAGGGCTCCCTCTGCCTCTTTGTCCTCTTGGACCTCTCCACCGAGTTTGACACAGTCGACCATGCGATCGTCTCCATCGCCTCCCCTCCCTCATCTACCACACTAGCCTTGTTCGAGTCCTACCTAACAAACCGCCTTCACTTTATCTCTTTAAACGGTTTCTTCTCCTGTCCCTGCCCGGTTACCTATGGTGTACCCCAGGGCTCCATGCTTGGCCCCCTCCTCTTCCTCATCTATATCCTCCATCTTTGCGATGTCCTCTGCAGACATGGAGTAAACTTCCACATGTATGTGGATGACACACAAATCTACTCCTCCAGCTGCAACATCAGGTCCCCCAATATTCTCTCCGCTTGTCTGGCAGACATCAGGGCATGGATGAGCAAAAACTTCCTACAACTAAATGTTAACAAAATGGAAGCCGTACTCATTGGCTTCCATCAACATCTTCTATCCTGTGGTTCTAACCTCCTCAACCTCCCTGGCCGATCCCTCAGACTTACCGAACCAGCGCGCAACCTAGGCTTCAGATTCGACTCACAGCTATTCTTCCTTCCCCACATCCAGTCCCTGAACAGGACCTCCTTCCTCCACCTCCCCCACATTGCCCGCCTCTGACCGTACCTTATCCCAGACTCATCCATGCGTTCGTCACCTCCCAAATCAACTTCTCAAATGCCCTCTTTGCCGGTCTCCCCAGCTCCACTATGCACAAGATCCAGCTGATCCAAAACTCCGCCGCCCGCATACTCACCCATATTAAACTCCTTATACCTCATACCTCACACCAATATACACCAGTTCTTGCCAAGCTCCACTGGCTGCCTGTCGCCGAACAGATCGATTTGAAGATCCTCACATTCGTTTTCAAATCCCTTCATGCCCTGGCACTTAC